TGAATTAATGTTAACGTTGAAATTATTTAGTATTGCAAAAATTAGAAATATTTGTCCTTTAGATATTCATGAAATCAAATATCTGTCAAGGTTTAATCAACCAACAACAGCAACAACAACAAAATCAAAACATAAATTAATTGAGAAAAAAATCGAATTTCCAGAAAATTTGATTGATTTTTATCATGATATTATCAAATTATTGAACATTTCAATTTATAATTTACAATATGATTTTTGGATTTTCATAACAATTTGGAGTATCATAAAATCAAATGTCATTCAATTGAATTCTACATTTCAAAAAGAAGTTGTTGGATTATTTCCAATAGCTGGATTTATCAACCATACTTGTTCAAATCCAAACATAAGAGTTAGAAATTTTCCTTTGAGTTTAGCTAGTGACAATAATACTAGTAAACTGGGATATGGTATAATAATAGAAGCATGTAAAGATATTATGAAAGGTCAAGAAATTTTGATGAGTTATTGTGATTTGAGCAAAATTGAGAAATTACAAAAACAATCATTTTTATCAAAGTATTTTGGATTTGAATGCATGTGTTCTGAATGTTTATTCTTGATTAAATAAAATCATTATCATTACCATTACTGTTTGTTATTATAATAATTTTTCATATTTTTTTTTATTTGTATGAAATTCTTTTTTTGTTCTTTCAAATAATATAAATAAATTAGTTATTTGAAAAAATCACTTAAAACTTCAATGATTTAATAGATGCCCCGTTTGACGCTTTTATATCCACTATTATTATTAATTATAAAGGATATAAAGTAACACTGGGGCAATATATAGATACATAATATAGATAGATATATATATGCATAAATAAATAGATAATTTGGGGTTTTTTTTTCAAAATAAATAAATTCTTTATTTTACAATAAACACATAAACTCGTCAATTCGGGAAACCCTTTTAATGAATTAACCATCGATCGATTATACCATAAAATTGGATCGGTTGGATATATTATTAATCCTTTGGTATAATCTTCCCATGCCATATCATAATCTCCTTTTTCAAATGCCTCATTAACTACTACTACTAAATTTTCTTCCATTATAAATTTTTATTTTTTTTTTGAGGATTAAATGTGTCACAAAAACTTTATTTTATTGGCTAAAAAATTCAAACATGTGTTAAATACTAACATTACTTTCCCACGCTGGAATTATATCTATATTTATATAATATTAATAAAAATTTAGCGTATTTAAATTTATAATACTGTAAGGAAAGGTATTGGGTATTTGTTGGCTGTAATATTGAAATATATGAACTTCCAGAAGGTCCCGATTTTAATTATTTTATTTGTTTACGGATAGAACTTACCTGTGTTTCGATCTGGTTTTTTTTTTGCAGACAAAACTATATTTAAACCATAGTGTGGAATGGTTACAAACAAAAACCATACAAAGGTAACGATTCTTTAGATTGATTACGTGTAATCTTTGCTGAAATTGGTTTCTCTATATTTATAATTAATGTTTTAAAAAAGTAGACTAATCTAGATTTTAAAAGTCCTTATATTATTGTTTTTAATGTATGTATGGAAAGTAAAATACTAACGTTTTCCTGGGTCTAGAGATTAAGACCTTTGATTCTCCCAGCAGATTCATGGCCCATGGCTGTTGTCACGTCCATTAAAGGACTAATATATCCTTGTGAAAATTTATGAATTGGGAGTAATAGATACCATAGTTCAAATTTAATTCCAAGAAAAAAAAACAATGTTAATTCATTAATATAATGATATTTTGCATAAATTTTATAAGGAAGCAAAAGAGTTGATTTGAAATATGACTTTACAAATATATAATGTATACTTTATAAGTAATGAAGAAATTATTTTTATTCTTTATTTTTCATACAAGTGTTAATACAACAATTAATGAATAAGTTAAAAATGATTATGCTAATTTTATTATATTTAATTATAATATTTAGTGCAACACTCGTTATTCTTTAATACAAATAAGTTGGTGCAACATTCATTATAACATTAATTTGTCTAGATCAAGTTCTAGATGAAATATAGAATCTATAAATTCTTGTATTTTATTGGAATTTAATGAAGTTCAGCTGGAGCTTCTTGTAAACAATTACAACTTAAAAAAAAAATTTTTTTCTTAATATTATTATAATTAGGAAACAATATTTATTACACGAAATTTTAATTCATCTGGATCGCGTTCATCAAATCGGCGCGCAGTACGTTATTATTGATATATGGGGCATACCGCAACAAAATCAGACAAAATGAACATTGGTATTACCAAGAATT